TGCATATCATTCTTCTGGGCACTTTTGTAACTTAATGATAGAAGAAGGAGAGAAAAGGGGAAGAAAACCAAAATTAATAAATGCCTATCATGTACCAGACATTGCCTACATACATTATCTTCCTAAAGCAGTCATTATTATACCCATTTTACAGATGGAAGATCTAAGGTCCTGAAATATCAGCTATCTTGCCAAGAACTCAGTCAAAAGCTCTCTGCACTATACCATTCAGTAGGTGTAGATCTAAACTATACCTGTGAAAGGCAACAAATTACTTCCTTATCACCAACTGGATTAAATTTAAAATAAGATCCTATGATTATTTTATTTTTATAAAGTATTTCAAACTATTCCCATTCTTCAAAGCATCTTTTAAGCTAATGATTCTGATCTAAGGGCCATCTAAATGCGAAACTAATACCGCCATCTTTAACTGGAAAGGGAGAGAAAAGATTTCATCCGAGTGTGGTGGGAAGAGGGGTTCAAACATCCCACCCCCAGTTGATGCCATCTAGTTCCATCATGCCAGCTTGCTTTACTCTTTTTGGTAAAATGTATTTTTATTGAATGTTTGCTTTATTATTTTCTCAAATATGCACCTACACTTCAACATGAGAGGTTCAGTTTGAATTCAAGCACACCAGCAGCCCCACTGTCTATTTCTTAGCTCGGACTGCCCTCTGTCTTATCTATTTTCTTCACCATAGCCTCAGAGTTAACGATTCAGTCATGATTCAACATTTATTGAGGCATCAGGTACTAAGATGGGTGACAGGTACGAAAAAATGATGTGATGTTGCTCTCCAGGAGTCTGGTCTCATAAGTCCACGAGCATTCTAAAGGGTTGTTCCCTATTCGCCCTTTCCACACGTTTCTCCTCCCTCTGCCTAGCCCTTGGGGTGGCTAATGCTTCTGTGAACTTGCAGCTGGGTGGACCAGCAGGGCCTCCCAGATCTAAAAATCAAAGAGGCGCGAAGCCAAGATGCCTGGAGGAAGCCAGACAGGCTATCAAGAACACCCCTGGCACCACGCGTTTCCAAGAGCACAGGCAGCATTTGCAGGGAAGGATGCAAAACTAAGAAAGGAAGTTCGGCTTGCCAACTGCGTGAGGCCTGCGAATCCCCTCCCTGGCGGTGTGGGGTCGTAACATTAGAACTTTCCCTGGCCCGCAGCTGCACAGCCACTCGAAAAGAGACGGAGACCCAGGAGGCTGTGCACGCTGGGGCTCAGACCTTGGAGCCTCCTTCTTTCTCCTCCCGCCTACTTCCAAGAACTCTTGCGGGAGGGGGGGGGGAGGAGGGGGGGGAAGTCTCATAGGAGTCCTTCCCTAACCTGCCTCAGCTCGGCTCCCCAACCTGCCCACTGGCCCCACCCTGCGCTGCTCTCCCTATGCACACTCGGCGCCTACCCCCACTTTCGTGCCCCTGCACCTCAACCCCAGGTGGACTTTCCACACGCCCCGCGCACAGGGCCCCAAACCAGAAGAAATCCATCTTCTTCTACTGGGTTGCAGGGAGAATATCCGCTGGCCTGAGCCGGAGGACCCTCTGCGCAACCGAGGAGTCGCGAGGGGCATGTGAGTCCCAAGTGCCCAGATTTCTCTCCCTTTAGGAGTCGCAACGGAGCCAACAGCAGCCCGGCCCTAATCCACCCAGGTCTCTAATTCATCACCTGACGGCTGACATCTATCTTTGAGTGCACAAGATGAGCACACGCAGGTCCACACACCAGGGTAGCACAAATCTTTCATTTTCCGAGGACGAATGGTTTGGTTTCCCCGACTATCATTTAAGCATTAAGCATACACTGCGTGTCATCTTGAATAGAAAAATAAATGAAACTGGAGCCCAGAACATGGAGCCTCTTAAGAAAAAAATTCCAAATATTTTCTTTCCCTCTGCATTAACTTCTTTTGTTTCTCTAATGAGACAGATCCGAAGACTGATTCTTACAGTGTGGTCCCAGGACCGGCAGCAGCAGCATCGCTTGGGAACTTGTTAGAAATACAAATCCTGACGCCCCACCCTAGATTTCTTGAATCTGGAACTCCCGTGTATGGAGCCCAGCAATGTGCCACCGGCCCTCCAGGTGACTGTCATACACAACGAAGAACCCCTGGCACACAAGTCTCCTCGGCAGGGTTTCCCCCTGATCACTGAGTATAGTAGTATAACCAGCAGGTACAAAATTTTGTTTACCACTTCTCTTTTTAGAAAGTCTCCGACGTGACAGTGGGGAAACCTGCTAGACGCACAATGAGCTACTTGTAAAAAGCCATATAAACAAATGAGAGAGAGAGAG